TCAAAGAAAGGACTCTATTCCAAAAAAATATGAAAATCGCCCAACATGAACAGCAAATCCTTTTGCTCATCATCAACTATGCCGATCCTGATACCCCTCTGAAGAAGTTCACAAGGTCTGGTAGGGCATGTCCTGGCCAACCTTGGTAAACGATGTTGTATACCAAAATTGCTGTATAGGATGTTGCGCCTAACTTCCTATTCATGAGATAAAAGTTAGACATGGGAGATCTCGCATCCTTCAGCGAAGCGAGAAAGAGGATTTTGGAATTTCGAATAGACGTACTATGTGCTCTGCGGTTTCATGTCAACATTGTTCTTACTCCTTCAAAGATAATTTATGAAACCAAACTTCAGAGTGATTGGAGTTTCCCTGTGCATAGCATACCAAGCCATTTAAAGGATAATCAACATTTGCTGCATAATTCCCGTATTCCATCCTAATATTTTTGAAAGAAAAAAGTCTGATCTACAAGGCTGATGCGACACTAGCAGAGCTAGTTAGCGAAATTACGTATCACCAAAGTTATCATGGTTACCTTGCAAGACATTTTAAAGTCAGGACTAAAAACAAAAGACTAGTTCCTTCTCTTTCTCTCCCCTCCCCTCTCTCTTCCTTCCCCCCTTCTGCCCACCTTTTTTCCCATTCTACAAATGAGGCTACTTCTGGTTTTCACTTTATTTAAAAATTCATCTTAAAAATATGAAAAACATTTTATCAGAATCTTGAAGAAAAGTGAATTAACACAGTAAGCTGTAAAATCTTCAATAAGTTATCCCTGCTCCTCTTCTGGAAGATGATTGTGAGATACAAAGCCATACCTTCAACTTGGAAACTTGGAAAAAAAATTCGTAAACACAACAAAAAGGCAACCACAAGCAAAATATCCGAAGCTGTAAGAAAGATAAAACATGCAACTACTACCCGCGATAATGAACAAACCTTAACCGAAAAGTTACAAATTACAAAAAACATCTTCAGAGCTTTTCAAACTTTTCTACAAGTCCCCTCAAATACTGATTGAGATCTATGGGTTCACCACTGACTTCGATAAAGCACACATGACCACAATCAAAAATGGAGAGGATTAACGGAATGTCACCGGAGAATTGGTTGACTATCGAACAGCTCATAGAACCGTAGCGTGAGCTAAAATTGAAAGAAACTCGAGGAATTTGAACCTGCAGAATTAACTAAACGCTGATACCTTGACCTAATCGAAAATCACTTACTCGACACAGTTTACTCGAAAAACCGGTCGTGGAGGTTTGCTGTGGCGATATTGATCTGGTAGGAAAACTTCAAAATCATATCTATTCTCAGGTACACTGAAACAAGAGATATTATATTTTATTTTAGAGATATTTTTTACAATTCAATGCTCGCTTACTTGTCCGAGTATGTGGGAGCAGGTGGTACCCTACGGCTGGATTCTAAGAGATTTTTCCTAAGTCGAGCGAATTGCTGCCATGATGAAGCTATTTCACGGATCTCATCCAGCTCAGGCCAATATCGCGGTCGCATTTTTTGACGAAAGTTGCGCTATAAATAGTCCAGGCCTCAACGAATTTAACTGAAGCCCTTCGAATAAACTCACATGATGTGGTTTAGTAAATCCCTTACAATCAGTTTTGAAATTGTGGAGATCTGGAACCGGTACGAAAAGCAAACTACGGTGAAGATTGGTCATTATCAATTGATTCCGCTGCAACGTAGGGAAACAATCGAGCAAGCGTTGAGGATATCTAAAGTGAGACAACTATACCCAGATAACTCTTAGGTATTACTTCACCGTCTAATTGAAAGTTTGAAATGACGGGATTTTTTGTTTGTTTGTTTGAAATGCAATTCCAGTAAGTTTAAGAATCATCTAATTTAGTACACTGATGAACATCTATCAAAAGCTCTAAATTACTAATAAATTCTGTACAATTTCTTATTGAGTTTTACCATCTGACGCTCGATAGACCTTTTGGGTTCCGGAATTCATCGTATCCTGAAAGATTGGAGATTGGCTGGATTTATCAATTACTAAAAATTTCAGATTCTGCTCTGTAATTTGCTTCATTCGGTGATCGCAGCTGACATGGTGAGTTGATTGAAAATCGTGGATTTATGATGTACGAAAAAAGAGCTTTTCCAAATATTTCATTATATGGATCTTCGATTTCGCAATAAACTTACCCGGTGAGATTACTTGACATACTTATTATGAATACCATATCCATTAAGCAGTGGGAGCGGTGCATGGTTAACGTTGGGACCAGTGGTGAGTCAAAATTATAATCAACTTTCTTGCCGAGGGTAATGGGTAATAGATTACAGATATCATATCCAATTCGCATAACATAGACATTTCGCAAAAATCATAAGAGGCAGCTGGTTAATGACCTCAATTAGAATGTCAAAAATCTTATTAGACACCTTTCCAGCCAAATTTGTGTTAGTGATTCATTTAACGCCTACTTGGTCCTAAGGTAACTACCTATCGTGACAAATCTAGTGTTCGTGATAATGAGCATGTCAAACAATTTCTCCAAATAAAAATTCAGCGAATTGCAGTACCTTGGGTCGAAGATAACAATCATTATGATACTTCTTTTGTGTGTTCTGAAACTTCCACTCTGAAAGAAATTGGCTCGGGTTAACAAGTAAATCGTCTTCAAAAGCAAGACGTAATCTTTTAAATGGTATGGAAAACTACACCAAAAATTTCGTTGTTAGGACTTTTACATTTTTAAAATGGAGGCACTCAACGCACAGCCTAATAATAATTATTGTTGTAAAATTGTGAGAAAAATGTCGAAAAAATAATTTTGTTTCCTTTTTTTTTGTCATTGCCATGGCGCCGTTGCTTTGTTCCACATGATTCCATGCTTGCCCCGTTGTATATAAGCCAATCCCTGTGGCCAGTATTATCTCGCATCCCAATTCTCCAATTTACAACGAATTATTTCCTCCAATCTTCTTTCTACCAATCCCGAATGGGCCAGAGCTACTTGCATCTGAGCCTCTACGGAGTTTCAACCATAACGTGACATATGGACCGAAAAAGCGGGTTGCTTGAATACCGTGAGAAGCGGAAGGCGAGTATGGTGCTCCAACTGAGGCTATACTCTATTGCCTGATTGAATCATTAACGTCAACCTTTCTCTCTATGAGTACTGGAAAAATGCAGCAGTGTACACGATGAGTACGCTTCCTCCAAAGTGGGAGGAGTTGGCGTTGGCGCGCATGTACCGAAGGCAAATCCTCGGCTTCAGGGGAAGCGCTGAAAAAACTATCGTTTCGAAGCCACGCGAAGAATAGTGTTTGCGTAAGATGACACAACAGTACGAAAAGCC